TATATCATAAAGAAGTATCGTGGATTCTATTAACAAGCTTCACGAACTAGAATCAAACTATACTGATTTACCACTACAAACCACTAACATAACATTATTTACAAATTACATTATTATATTTTATAATAAATACAATTTACACTCTTATATTTAGTGTGCTAATTTTTCTATATAAAGACATAGAAAAATCCTTAAAGTGAATTACGCTAAGAGAATTAACACACATATTGCAAACATATTCACATCATCTGTACAATTCTAGTGAATCTAGTGAGATAGAGCTTTGTTGGAAATTTTCTCCAGACTACGTACGAGTTCGTGCAACCCTTTATAGGCTCAGCCTTAGCTCGAGAGACCGGGCCGACGAAGATGATGCCTTGCGGGACTACGAGAAAGTGACTTCAAATTCACAACTAGTCTTCCCATACGAAAAAGTAAGAGAAGGGAGGAAAACAGAGCAAGATATGTAAATTCCGAGGAAATTCCGTCGAGGCGTTAGTTCATCTGACAATTTTGGAGTTCGGAGGATTTGGGATCATATATGATCGAGTTCTGTTGCGATAGACGGCACTGAGTGGCCTCCCATATCGTCAACAGCATTGTTCGTACCACCCCGTCCATTGGGAAACAAGAAAGAGCTGAAACTGAAAAAGAAACCGAGGGAACTGCCAGGCCAGGCCAGAATCTCAACTACCTGAACCCAAGTCAGGCGGCCGAAATTTGGCTTGATTTGGGTTCTCCCTGTGAAATGTAAGATGCCCAAATCAGTTCTACTCAAAAGCGCATTCTTACTCTTTGGAGTGAGGTTTCAAATTACGGACACCAGAGTTCTGGAATTTGGCAAGAAGATTATCAACGATTTCGAGGTCGTGGGATCCTACCAAATTTCTCTCTGTAGACATTTTAATGCATCCGTTTTGTTGTAGAGTACTCTCTGCTCTCTAAATCGGTCAGCAGTGGATGTCTGCGTGCGATATTCTGAATGATATTTCAGAATCTCAGATGCATCTGAGCCATATAGCGAAGAGAGAGGCTTTGACACTCGACGGTGTATTTGTTGATGTGACGGTTTCCGTTGCTCCGAGGGCAGGAAGACAATAACGAATTTAGGCTGGGAGGGAGAAAAAGCTGGACAAAAACTCGTTGTTAATTGTTGTGGTAATTGTCACATATTACAATTAGTGTATCTCTTACCCCATAACCAAAGCAGAATCCTGATGCTTCTTGTGAGACTGAAAATATAGCTTTCGAGGATCGATCGAAGAATCTGATGCTGTCAGAAATATTCCAAATCAGGGTCAACGATCTTCACGACGTTCCACGCTAGAAGATCTCACATCAACTTCTTGTTTATAGCTCGTGATCGACACGATGAGCTCATGAAGGTCGTCCAAACTTCAGTCGTTCTCACGCGCTGTAGATGCGTCGATACGCTGGATGGCGTAGAGATGGGTTAAAAAATGGAGTAATAATCGGATGGCCAAAACCATCGAAAGGAACAGAAATTATCTCGTAGGAAGGAAGTTATTGCAGCTTGTCCACCGTCAAGTGGGGATTGATTCTAGCAGGAAAAATTGGCGCACTGAAACCTCAGAGCAGATTCAATAGCCCTTCACTGGTCACTCCTCTGAAGGAAGATGGGCAGTGAAATTGTACGTTGCCAAGCAGAGTTTATTCCCGTAGAAACAGAGAGAGCGTTGAAGTCCAATTAAAAAAGTGTTTTCCACTTTGCGATGCAGCACGAAAAGTTAATGTACACAACAAAATATGATCGCCAAATGTGGCAGACGAGTAGAGTAGTTCCACGATACCCATTCTTCTTTCACCGTGAGGCAGAAAACTCATTCACACAATGTTGAATCTGCTTAGTTGACTGAAGAAGATGTTCATATTCATGAAGTACTTCGACGGTTCTGCCAAAGTTTAGCTCGAGAGACATCCAATTCGCTTCCAGAGTTGCGTCACATATTAGAATGTGAACGACTTGTGCAGTAGACCGACTGCCTGGAAAACGTTCGCTTTCAGCAGAGTTCATCGTCTCGGATCCACTTTTTGACTTACAAACCTCACGTGGTGGACTGAAGGCATTGAAGGGTTCACGTCCTCAAGGAAGCCAACTTCCACCTACACGAGATCAATGAAAATGCGGTTTCGAAACTTGTATCTAAAGCCTTGACCTTTATTCAATACAGAAAAGAGAGATTACGGCCGACGTCATGGAGAGCAAACGCGAACCTGCGTTTCTGCCTATACTTCAATTTACATATAACCAACATAAATTTTCTATAGGAAATTCTCTGTAACAAATATAATTCCCTATAGAATACTAAATGGGCCTAGCCCCAGGTTTTCGTTAGGCTGGTGGTGTATTCCCGTGGCTTTTGGTATACAATTGGCACCCTTTGACTCTTTGAAATCTTTCGAGACGCCAACTTCTACTGTCCAAGTTCTGGACTGTACTGCATTTTTTGACTGGAGTTTTGTAAACCCATACGCTCAGTGTTTCATTATTACGTACATGGAGGTACAATAACCCCGAACGAAAACTCAGTGTGCAGTTAGCCGTGTGTTCAGCACAAAGCGAACTATTCTTTCGCCTTTTACTAAAGAATACCGTGCGCGGGACACTCCATCGGCTTGTTCCAATCTTTGGATCGCTCTCTCACGAGGGCACCAATGTGAAAACCAAAGAGGATGTCTTGTACTGAAATATGACAATGTGCAAGGTCCACAAGTGGAAATAAGGACCGACCCCATCTCAAACCGAATCGAAACCGCACGGACATGACCAAATGAACCGCATCAGGATCAAGATGTTTGTTTGATTGATAAGGTTCTAGAATTTCCAATAGTCGGTGAAATCCGTCGGCTGCCTCCGGGTTGGCAAAGCACATTAGCAGCGTCGGTGACGCTGGCTGACTGTGAACAATTTTCATTCCGTCACACAGAGGGACATAATACGTAATGCATGAGTGCGAAATTGACGACGACTAGTATCATTCTCCGTCGGTACTTCGTCGAAAGTCAGTTCGGTTTTCGTGAACCTCCAAATTGGTCGTCTGATCCTCGAGGGTCATATAGACGTCAATGCTGTGGACGATGACTTCTTACCAGTTATCGCTCATATAAACGATAAACTTTCTCGAGGACTGACAAGAATAGATATTCTCAATTTAATATTTGATATCAGCGTCATGGACCGTGACGATTACAATCTATTTCTTTCACAGTGGGGCAGCTTTCCGTCTCGGACCCGCTACCGTCGTCTTGGTATTGCTTAACCTCCATGTCCGGCGCAGCCCTTCTTTCCCCACTGAAGACCAAAAAAGACATCAGGAATCAGGAAAATCCCGTGAAGTGAAGCTAACATTGAATATATAGTATGATGGAAGCTGTGAATATCCTTGAATAAATGTTTTACAATAATCTTGTAATCCCAGTCGTATCAGCGGTTGACGGTTGAAGGTCACAAAATCTAAACAAGTCATCCAAGCTATGGTAGATGCTTATCAAGTTGACTAAAAAAATTATATTGAGATTTATATATAATATAATGAAATTACTAAGATATATTTAAATCCAATAATTAGAAAAACAAACATGTTGGGATCGTTTACCACTAAGTTAGGGTTTCAACCGCTTCGCTGAAGTTGGATAGTGATTAATGGACTTGCGACCATACTAACATTTTAGAATTTAGGATAATTCGCAGTTTTATGGCTAAATTTGAAAGCAGATTTGAGAAGGGATGCTTTTAGGAATAAGCGTCTATAGCTTTGGAAAAAGAAGAAATACTGTAAAAGGAGATTGAACACTTACTACATTTTAGGTAGAGAGGTTCCAAGGCACTTCATAATTTTGACCATGTGATTTGCTGTTCTTGCAGATTTGAAATTCGAGATTGTACACAACATTCCAATCTCCTCCAGAATATCCTTCCTTAAAATGGAAGGCATTTGTAGTCTACAGGTGAAAAATAGTTACAAACCTATTACATGATCAAAGTTTACAATTTGTTATCATGGGCTGTTGATCCAAAACCGGCGCGTGGCCGTCGCTATGAGGGAAAAAATATGCCATTCCAAGCAAGGTTAAAATATGAAGGAGAAGGATCGTTCGAAACACTACTGAGGCTTGCGATGCAATAATTATTCACATGATCAATAGTTCTTTAGCAAAAACTTAGAAAACTCAAACTGAAACTTTCTTATTTGACATACTATTCTCACTATCTCTTTTAACAATAAATACTTGAGTACATGATTTGTACATAGTCTTGTGGCCGAGGAAGTGCTTGCCTCTTTGACATAACCGCTCATTACTAGGTCAACTCTGAGAAACATCATACTGTAATTTCCAAGAGCGCGAATGAAAATGTCCTCGCGTAACATTGAGTAATTAATGTCAATAAGACATTCCTTGAAATTGTGCAAAGCTTATTGTAGTCTGGACACCAACTTAATTTCAACCTATCGTGCGGCGTATTTTAGTGTCTCTAAGAAGCGATTGCCAACGCAATACACAAAATCTTGGCTTGGCACCTAACGTGATTGCCAGTGTTCTTCATTTGTGAGTCTTGATGGAGATCCTGTCTTTTATTCTATCCACTTGGCACCCTTTGAGGGTCAATGATTATGGAGAATCATGTAGCGGCAGATAAGAAGTCCCCGAGCCCAATTCCTCATGCAAGAGCGTCGAACCAGACGAAAGAGAAAGTAAGACAAAGAGATAGTAAGACAAAGGAGCGTCATCACGTGCTCGCCCAGCACAAGACAAGGGCTCTGTCTCTGCTAAAAGTGGCAAACATTTGGGTCGATCGTTTGGCACTCAGGCAGTCGGCCAGCTGGCAGCCAGTCCGGGCGAAGCATACTGCGCTGTCGCCTTCGTCCAACTTCCCTCCCCTTCGTGCATGCTCATGCTCATGCTCGCTCGCAACCCTCGCTGCCCGCTGCCCGATGCTCTGTTTCGAGCCTCAGCGATCGCGAACCTTCCTCCTCTTCCCGCAACGAACCAGGAACCTCGACACGAACCGTCGTCGCAGATCAGCCGACCTATAAAGGCTCAGATACTATTCGATCGTCACAGGAAGGAATTTTCTGTAGCTGATCCGACGTGCTTTCTGCTATTGTCACGTATGCCATACGCAACGTTTTCGTGCGAAAGCGGGCCATCATCTTTGCTTCCGAGACTCAGCCGTGTGCAATTTGACCTGCAGGTGGGAATGTGCCGGCTTCTAGATCTTTTGTTGTTTCTTCCGATCGTAGGAATGGGTTCGAACGGTACATCAATTTGCTATTTCTTAGCACTCTCGTCGTTTCCTTTGTGAGAGATTCTGGAGCAGGCGATTGACTGTATACATTCTCATCAGGAGCTCCTGCTCAGTCCTCACTCCTTTCGCTGCTGCATGCTTTAGCCACTTCTAACCGTCGCTGTGGCTCAGAGAGTGTACACTCCAATTGACGGTATCCAGGGTGTGTGTTTCATGTACAACGCAGTGCATCAGGTCCTCTATATATGTAAAAGAGAGAGAGAGGGGGAGAGGGACGGAGATGGAGCTCTTGAGATTGGTAGTGAGAATAATGTTCGTACTAAGACAGGACCATGGAATCTAAGATTGTTGTATTGCCGGATAGAGCTTGAGAGTGATAGTCTTATCTGTCAGTCTCGAACATGGCAAGACAGTCATTTTTGGCTCGGTGAATTGTGGATGTCTGAAGCTTTGTTTCCTGGGTTTTGCAGCGTTGAAGAAGAGAGTCTGAATTCTGAGGTGGAGTCGAGTCCCTCAGCAATGGGTAGAGCGGCCCTGATCTGCGGTGCGACCGGAATTGTGGGCAAATATTTGGTGGACATGCTTTCCAGCCCCGACTGCCCGTCCGGACCATGGAAGGTGTACGCGCTAGCTCGAAGATCCCACACTGGTGCCAAAGTTTGCTTCAAGTCCGAGAACTATACGTACATTCAAGCGAATCTGCTGGATAAGGACGACACCTACGAGAAGCTATCGCCTCTGAAAGACGTGAGCCATATCTTCTGGGTGACTTGGGTACAGGGCAAGGACGAGGAAGAGAGCTGTGCGAAGAATGGTCAGATGCTCATCAATACTCTGGATGCCGTCGTGGCGAATTCCAGTGCTTTGGAGCACATCGTTCTTCAGACGGGATGTAAGCATTATCTTGGACCCTTCGACCAGTTCGGTGGAGACGTGAAGCCTCACGACACCCCATTCCGAGAGGATGTGCCCAGACTTCCAGGCCAGAATTTCTACTACACCTTGGAGGATATTGTGTTCAACCACCTCAAGCAGCACCAAGGTCATCTGACTTACTCCATTCACAGACCGACCAATATCTTTGGGTTCTCAGCTGGGAATTTGATGAACTTGTTGGGAACGCTTTCAGTGTATGCAGCCATCTGCAAACACGAGGGACTTCCATTTGTGTTTCCAGGAAACAAAATCTCTTGGGAGCAGCTGTCCGATGCCTCCTCCGCAGATCTGATTGCAGAGCAGGAGATATGGGCCGCCACCACTATCGATGCCAAGAACCAAGCTTACAACATCTCCAATGGAGATGTTTTCAAGTGGAAGAAATTGTGGCCATTGCTTGCCGCTGAGCTTGGAATTGACGCCGCCCCATATCACGGAGAGCCTCTGAACTTGACTCAGAACTTCAGCGGGAAGGATCAAGCATGGGATACGATTGTGAAGGAAAAGGGCTTGGTTCCGACCAAATTGAAAGATGTTGGCAATTTTTGGTTCGCGGACCTCGTCCTCAACGTGCCGTTCGAGAATGTGAGCTGCATGAACAAGGCCAAGGAGTTCGGATTCCATGGCTTCCGTGACACGGAAAACTCAGTGAAGTCTATCATTCATGAAATGGTCGAAGCTAAAATCATACCGTCATTCCACGAAAGATATCAGTTGAGACACACAGCTGAATGATCAGTTTCGACTCTGCGAAATTTTTGACATAGTAACTCGTGCAGTGTAGGAAAACGTAGAGGATGTTCTTCCACTGTCCTCGTTTTCATCGTTATTTGCTTCAACTGTTTGTATGGCCTTTTTGGGTACCGAACGTAGAGTCGACCGTGAAGGAATGTTGATAGATACATGTGACTTCAGTTGCCAGCCCCAAGAGGGCGGAAGTTATCTAATTATCTCGAATGGTTAGGACAGAGGCAGGCACAGATATAACCCTTGGAAAAAGCCCGGGAACATTTGCAATGTAGTGACTGTAAAGCTTGTTAAATTAGAATCATCTAAATTTCTAAACTATAATTATGATTGAAGCATGTTATTTTTTGTGGACATGGTCAACTCTTGTAGCCTCTGTTTCACTGGGCAGTATTACGAAAGTACCAATGCTGATAGTAACTACTGAGACCACGCGCCTATCGGATTCCCCATCATGTGGAGCTGATAAATTGGTAAGAATGATCCGACGTAGTCATATTATCCATATCGAATTATTTATAAGATACTAATCGTTATAATAGTTTTTTTTAATAAGCTAAAGTTGCATGTATCCATTTGGTTTCAACTTTTTTCTTGTCCTCCACCAATGTAGAGGGTAAGATGAATATTTGAGAAGTAATCTCATCCTGGAGAATTGTAACACTTCATACTTGATGTACCCACAAAGTTTCGATATATAGATAGATTATTGTTCAAATCATTTTAAAAGAAAATAAGATACATTTATAATCATCTTAAGTTAAATACAAAGAAACTAAAAAAAAAAAAAACATAGAAAGAATATTGGCAAAAGATAAAATTCAAAAATAAGGTGTGTACATATGCATAATATGTATGAAGACAGGAATATTGGTGAAAGTGTAAACCAAAGAGCTATAAAGAAGAAACAAGTGGTGCTTTTTGTTGAAAACATTGGATGTTTTAGGAGGAAATCACCTAATGGGACCCCAAGAAATTGCATAAAACTTGATGGGACCCAACATGTTTCATTATACCGTGGTCGGCAATTGTAGGTGTAGGTGATGTTCAAATACGATGGGGGTTCATTTCAGATAGAAAGTTGTTGTCGGTTTTTGGGGATGCAATTATGGCAAGACCTTATCGGTAATACTTCAGCATCATGGTGATACTAGTTCGCAGTGTGTCTCAAAAAGCTACAGAGCCGCAAAATTACATAGTAGATTATCAGATTATAAGAATTGTTACATGGCTGACGTTGACATGCATGTACGTGAAGTGGGGTCTAAAAGAAAACTTGTTGGGTCCCATCAAGTAATTTGAGTTTCCCCTAGTTCCCATCAAATAATTATCTCGAAATTTCCGTCTTATCTATTTTCAATTTAAGATGTAAATTTTCTAAAATAAATTTGAATACAAAAATGTTTTCTAGGAAGAGTGGTTAGAACAGATTGATTTGTGGCTAAATTATTTGGTTTAGGAATATCAACCTTCTTCATATGAAGTGATTTTTGGTGTTATTATCATTAATTAGCTAAAATTATAACAAAGATGATTCATAATGAAGAAAAAAAATGTTGACTTGACTTGTAATGCACAATACTATAATTCCTGCAAAAAAATTTAAATTTTTTTTAGAATTTATCTTTATAAATTTATAAAGATTAAAGAGAGTTTATAAATTTATCGTATCCACATTTTAAAAATGTGAATAAATGAAAAAATCAAGACTTTACTTCAAATGTATCCTAAATGTAATTATGAAAATATAAAACATAATAAAATTTATATTATACATCGATGAACAAAATAATAAACCATGAAATATAAGATTTTTGTACAAAAAAATTTATAGTTAAGGACAAAAAAATTAGAGAGATTGAAATTGAATCTTATTGCCAATCTATTTATTAGCACATGATCATCAGATGTTTATCATAAATTTGAGTATCACATAAATCTTAAATGTATTCAAATATGAATGATATAATCTAAAAAAAAGAAAAAGTTGACTATATATCAATGATGGATAAAGCAATCACAACTACTCAAATGTTTGATTATGAAATCACACAAATTGATCATCATACTTTGTTGAATATTCATTTGAATCAACTTTAATGAATTGAGAAAGTTTTGATATGAAATTATTTATGTATCACAATAATCATTTATAGTTAGTTAAGACTTAGCTAGATATTAATCAAGATGAAGAGAGTATTAATTTGTAATGCAATATCCATAGTTGTCAAATCAATAATCAGTGTACTTGATATAAGGATAAAATGTGTTATGAGAAAACAATTATCAGCAATAAATGTCTATGATAGAATGTGTGAGCCTAAACTCTCCACCTTTCGGCGTTTGTAGTCCAGGTGGGGGTTCGAGCTCCCATAATCTAACTTCTCTGATCTCAAACCATGTGGTCAAAGTGTATTCAAGACAATGAGATCATAAATACTCGTTTTGCCTCAGAAAAATTGTCTAGAACTGACACTAACAATTTGATGTCTGCTATTTTCACAAGAGCAGCAGACAAGCTCTTCGTCACATAAAGATCTAACCCAACTATGGGTGACTTTCTCAATACTACAGCCGCTGTGGCTTATCCTAGAATGAGTGCCACATCTTAGACACACTGCCTCAGACACAGTCAGGTGACACACCAGCAGCATAAGGTGATACCCTTCCTAACAGCAACCTTCACACCCAGGGAATACGATTCTACTCTCAACACTTGCTCGATTCTTTCTCTTAGTGATCAATTCAGTCTCAGCCCAGCGATCCTCTTGGCCGTCACACACACTCTTCCGCTCAGCCCTCCGGCTACACTCTCAGCGACTCCACGCTTTCAACACCCTCGCCCTCAAGGATCTCACCCTCCTATCAGATTCCACCCACAATTTTGAGTATCAGATTTCAGTCTCACACCCTCAGTTCCCACCTTCGATTTCAATCCCACTCCCAATTCCTACTCAGATTTCGGTGTCAATTCTTCAGCTTTCACCTTCAGACCCCACCAAGTTTCTCTCTCAGGTTTAACTCTCACTTTTCAGTTTCAAATTCAGATCCGGACTGTCACATTTCAGTCTCAGATTTTAATTCGATTTCAACTCCCACTCTCAGAACCCCCACTTTGATTTCGGCTTCCACTCGAAGAGTCGACTCTCCACCCTTGAGAGTTCTCTCCCTCCTACTTCGAATTCTCTACACTCCCCTCCTAATTCTCACCACTTCCCTGCGAAAATCACTCACATCCACACTTTATTCCTCCCATTGATCATACTGTCTTCACACAATGGCACACCACACGATCTCTATCCCCAGGCCGAAAATTCCTCTCCAAAAATCCAAGGGCCGAGTTGCCCACAGGCCGCTTGAATGCTGTTCCCGCAATGATGGCAACGGCCTGCTTCCCATATGCGACTTTATGCCCCGCCGTCATATTTCCCACGCTTGACTTCACGCCGCCGCCACTGCCACACCTGTACAATCTTCATTCATGACCACGCCAACATCCGCCGTCCGAAATCTTCTTCCGCGCACCGCCGAAGGCATCCCCCCGCCCAAGATACTCTTCCGCACCTTTGCCTATCTATAACAGTCACTTCTAACACTCATAACTCACAGATCTTTGATTCGTTTGAAACGTTCTTGGGCTCGTTGGAACGAGCGTGTTGAGCTCTTTCCAACGAGCCCCTAACTAAGTCAAACCGTTAAGAATTGAAAAAGTTATCACTGTTTTACTCTTCCGCCAAAGGCGTTTGCCTATGCGTAGGCTCCCTACTCGAAACTCCTTGGGCCGAAGGCCCTTGAGCCGAAGGCGCATTTTCCGCCAGCTATTTTCCTTTCTTCCGCTGCGCCGAAGGTGCTTGAGCCGAAAGCCCCAGCCCCGAAGGCCTGCTACCTAACCCTATTAGCCACTTTAAACATTCATAACTCATTGACTCTTGATCCGTTTCAAAATTTCTTGGTATCTTTAAAACGAGCGTCACGAGCTCTTTCCAACGAGACTCTAATCAAGTCAAACCGCTAAGAATTGAAAAAGATATGCCAGTTTTACTGTTTCGCCGAAGGCCCCTCAATCTGTTATCGCCGAAGGCCTTTCGCCTAACCATATCAGCCGCTTTCGACGCTCATAACTCAATGATCTCTCATTCGTTTCAAAAGTTCTTGGTCTCGTTGAAACGAGCGGATCGCGTTCTTTCCAACAAGACCTTAATTGAGTCAAGGCGTTACGAATTGAGAAAGTTATGACGGTTTTACTCTACCGCTGAAAGCCTTGCCCCGAAGACCTGCTACCGCCGAAGGCGTCCGTCGCCGAACTCGCCTAAACCCTTCCCATCAGTAACCTCAGACACTTATAACTCAGTGATGCCTTATCCGTTTCAAGAATTCTTGGTCTCGTTGGAACGAGCGGGTCAAGCTCTTTCCAACAAAACACTAACTGAGTCAAGACATCACACATTGAAAACGTTATGAGGGTTTCACTGTTTCGCCGAAGGCCTTTCCCCAAAGGGACTTCACCGAAGGCACTTCGCCGAAGACCTTGCCCCGAAGGCCTCCTTCCGCACCTTTGCCTACTAGCCATTACGTCAACTCCTAATCTTGCCAAAACTTTCAGAAAACCCCAAGCATAATTTTGCAAGAGATTAAATCCAAAATTTTAACTCTCATAAGGTTACAAAGACATGTGAGCGCATTTTTGTGCTCACAGAATGTCTATGTCAGTGAAGTCTATCATTCATGAAATGGTCGAAGCTAAATCATACCGTCATTCCACGAAATATATCAGTTGAGACACACGGCTGAATGATCAGTTTCGACTTTGCGAAATTTTTGACATAGTAACGCGTGCAGTGTAGGAAGACGTAGAGGAAGTTTTTCCACTGTCCTTGTTTTCATCGTTATTTGCTTCAACTGTGTTCTCATGGCCTTTTTGGGTACCGAACGTAGAGTCGACCGTAAAGGAATGTTGATAGATACATGTGACTTCAGTTGCCAGCCCCAAGAGGGCGGAAGTTATCTAATTATCTGGTTTAGGAATATCAACCTTATTCAGATGAAGTGATTTTGGTGTAATTATCATTTATTAGCTAAAATTAAATCATAGATGATTTAGAATGAAGAAAAAAAATGTTGACTTGAATTGGAATGTACAATATTCCTTGCAAATTCCTGCAAAATCGACGCAATTGGAAAGAGCTCGACGCACTGATTCCAACGAGCCCGAGAACGCCCACAACGGAAAGGACTCCTGGAGTTATGAAGGTTGTAAGATACTCAGCTCTTCGCCTGTGCACAGGCGGAGAAGTTTTGTCCTATGCGCGGACGAAGGAAGTTCGCCTGCGCACAGGCG